CTGAAATACGACACCATGACTGCAACTATTCTGTACATAATAAATACAATCTTTATTGCTTGTTCAAAAATGAGATGTAAGTACAGTGTAAAAATACATATAATCAGTTTTATACAGTACTTTAGACAGCTGAAGACATTTTATAGGAAACCACCGTGAGACAAAATTATACATTCAAACCAAAAGTACATGACATTCATCAGGTAATATTCAGCAGGTATAATAAAGTGCTGCAGTCGTATTAAAATGTCACTGTATGACTGTACTGTAATGTTAACACTTTTTCACTGCACCACCTGTGAACTTTGAAGTCTTTAACTGATTTTGCTTTGCTGGAGAGGTGACTCATACGCTGCTCTATTACTATAGGCGTGGGTAAACGTTTTCAGGCAAAGCCCACACAGTATATTTCTCAAATGTTCCATGAAGAAACACTTGCCTTTTACAGACCAGGGGAGCAATAGAATTTAAAAAAAAACACAAAAAAACGTTTGGTCTAATCTTGCTGCCCACTCTGCTGTTCTAGAAGAAACTAAAAGTAACGCACTCTACTCTACTCTCTCTGGGGGGTTTCCGCTTGGCCCCTGGGTTTAGCTTGCATGTCATTTACATTAGTCAAGCATATTTGTTCACAGGATTTCCCAAGACATTCAAGAGTTACAGCGATAATTGGTGGATTTCCCATGTGGCACTCGTGAGGAATACTGAAAGATTTTCGCAATTGTGTTACTAAGCTTTAGAGCATTTCATTTTTGTTTTTATTCTGACCTGTTGAACGCATACTTGATCTGATAAACACTTAGTCATACAGCGTGCCTTAACATGCTCAGTGATTGTCACAGCTGAACGATTTTTACCTTTCATTTGTGAACCATTCTGTACACTCAGTATTTCACTAATAGGTCTCCCTAGTGCTTCATCTTGAATCGTAGCTTTATCTACTTAAAATAGGGAAGTCCCTTCACTGGGCTTTTTTTGACCAGTTAAGCAACAGTTGGAAAGTCCATATAGTTCCTGGTAAAGTTCAGTGGAGTGGAAGAGGCTACATGCAATAATGAGTCTAGCTACCTATTTTCACAATTTAACAAATAATAATTATAAAATAAAAAAAAAGACAAACTGTAAATGACCAACAGATAAAACAATTAAAACAACAAAACTGCCATAAACAGCAGGTAGGTTGCTATGTTATGTTGAGGCTTTGAGCATATGTAAAACCATACTACTGGGAGGTAATATAAAGGCTCAGAAAGTAATATGACTAAAATCAGTCTGTTACACCCACTTGCACACTCACCCACGTCGTATTTTCAAACTGAGCAATACTTGGCAGTTTTACCACTCAGGCGTGCAAATAACAGATTAATGACTGTCTATCATACTCTTACTGACTACAGCTGTTTTACAGTGTACTGGGGCAAGTAGACTGAACTTTGAATGCAGTTTAAAAACGTAATGGCAAAAAGGCTAGCTTTTGTTGATTGTTATTTCATGACTGTGTTCACATTTCAAGATGGCAAAAAACCAGCCTGCTGTTAGAATTTACATGGTGAATAACCTATTGTTAAGTCCACTTTCTTCTTTCCCCTCTCAGAATTCCCCTTCCTCTTGTTTCAACAGACTGTGTTATTGAAGGATCACTGAAACTGTATCCAGTTGTTAAAACTGAGCATGATGTTGCAGTTTGTTTTGTCCTCTTAGGCCTTTTTACACAGTAGCTTATGCTGTTCTAAAATAAAGACAGCTGGCCTAAGCAACTTGGTATAACAAAGACATTTAAAAAAACAAAAAGTGGCTCAGTATGAAGAACGAAGAATCCCATTTTAGCTGTAAAATCCTGTTTCCTTAAAGGAAAAAGCTACTTCCATGCGGCTTTCTAGCCCAGGGCATTCCATTCATGCAATCAGCTGCTCTGAAGAATCCTTAGAGTCCAGTGACTCTGAGCTGCAAGTGCTGCCCTGTTCCTGCTGAGCCTCATGGAAACTGCACTCTATTGCAATTAATGTCCTGGGATCATCTGAAGGAGAAAAAGAGGGAAAAAGTAAGCAATTAAAATAGTTAATCACTATGATTCAGGTGATATATTACCTAATCATGAAATGCAAGAGAAATTACCTGTAGGATTTACAATGATTTTTTCATGAATTCTCTTTTTTGTCTTCTTTCTTTTCTGGAGGTTTTTCACAGCTACGATCATGATAATGATGATGGTGACGGGGAACAAGACAAGTATGCCAATGATAACAAACAGTGGCCATATCGGGTCTTGAGCATCTGTTTCAAAACAGCACTGTTATAGTCAACTTTAGATCAGAACTGAAGCAGTATGATAAGAGGAAAAAAAATCATGACTTACCAGAGTCAGGTTTAACTTCTTGGCCACGTGTTGCCTCAGGTATAACTGGAACACACTTAATGTCATTTAATGCATCTCCTTTGACCACAATCTGCTCATTTGGATTGGAGCACCTGGGAGAAACAAGCGTGACAAAAGATTCCCTGTGACTTTTCTGGGATTTATCAAGTGTTTTATTACTGTAAAACATGGTGGTGTTTAGTAAAGGGTATTATCTTACTTGGTACTCCAGGGTTTGCACTTCTGGTGAACTTTGTCGTTATATGTTCCATTTGGACATTTTCTGCAGTCACCTGTGGAGACAGTCAGTGTGTTGATTTGCCATTTAAGCCAACATGTGTAGTGTCTGGGCTAAAGTTAAAAGCTTATTATTTGTACTTTTACTTACGATTAACTGTAGGTTCGAAGCCTTTTTCACACGTCTTCACACAGAAGGAACAACGTTCATCACCACAAGTAAGTCCTTCTCTACAGCCACACTTGGTATCAGTTGTGGCAGTGCAGGCTTGTAGAAGGACCTGAGCACCTAAACATACAAAAAGATTAAAAGCTCTTGTAGTACTACAGAAATCTATATTAGCCCAGAATTTAATACACTGCTGATGAAATGCTCTTATATGGTTGTGACTTAATTAATGCACCAACATACCTACACACTGTGTACAAGGGTAACAGCTGTATTCTTTAGGGTGCACTGTATAGGTCCCGGGCTCACAGGGTTTACAAAGTTCTTTTGGGGTTTGACCACACTCCTCGACTAGGTGATTTCCTGCAAAAATAAGCAAGGGAGTAAAATACACATAAATTTCAGTGACACTGGCTCCATCAAAGCTATAATGCATCTTAATAAATGACAAAAGATTTCCTTTTTAAGGTTCATAAGTTATAAGATTGGGGTTTCTAGAAAACTTTGAACTCTAATAACTATATTTACTGCTCTTACACTGGATGTACAGGAATGAAACTGACAAATTCTGTCAGTGACATTTCCCAATGATTGGATATATCAGCTGCATCATCCTTGCCTTTGTTGTGGATTGGGTGAAAAACCACTGAAACTATCTTTGGTTGCATGTGGCCACCGCAGAGGAACTCCTCAAAGGTTGGAAAACAATCTCAACTTTTTTTTTTCAACATCCAAAGATAATAGCTGGGTTTAATAATGTGGAAGAAAAGACTTCTTTTATCTCACTCGTGAATATACAGTAGGCTAAACTGTAAATGTAGTTTAATTCAAAAGAGCGCCGTTAAAAACAAACAAACAAAAAAGCTGCACATCTGTAAAAAAAAACTAATAAATGTAGAGTCTATCTGCAAACTTTTATGAGATTCTGGATCTTTTTTTTTCTTTATTACCTGGGTGACAGCTGTTACAGCAAACATCGTTCCCCTCTAGCGCCCATTCCTTGCAGCCCATCTCCACAACACTGCACTGGATGCGGATGCCCAAAAAGAGAACGATCAGCCAGGCGATTGCAGCCATACTTCAGCTTCCCAGCCTTGAAGATGATACAGCCACTCCAGGAGAGAGTTGATTTAATCCAATCGAAGAATTATTCCAGGTATCTCTTCCACGCGGCACTAATTCGGCTTTTCTCTTTACCTAAATCTGTGTGAGCATCGTTCTGCGCTCTGCACTCATATTAAGCAGACTGTATAGTTGCGACTTCAGCAGTCAGAAAGGTTTTTAACCCTCTTGCCAGCTGAGCGCTTATAAAAAGTGTTGTCGCGGGGGACGGGGGGGGCGTGTCACAACGGTGTGACTCAGCATGGTACAATTCATCTACATGCATAGACAGTTTTTTGTCTTAGTCATTTTTATACAACTACAATGTATTTATTAAAAATAAATGAATTCATTCAAAATACACAAAGAGATACCAAGATATAAAGTTGTCGCTGGCTGTAGGAAAAAGAAAAGCGAAACTTTGCTCAGTCAGATTACAATATTCGTTTCTTTTCCTCTACCAGTAACCAAATAAAGCCGTGATAATGTCGTGTTATGCATGCCTTCAAACTTGAACGACCGTTCAAATCTGTTCTGTTCTTCATAGAACTGTCTGAACTAGGGCTAAACTAGATTTCCTGGAACTTAGATGCAATCGCCGCAATGTGTTTACAACAGCACAGTCAAGTTCTCCACCTGCAAATGTGAAGTTAATTCAAATAGCAGCTTTACTTTCTAGAAGCTTTTGCTTCTATTTGAGTGCATTTACGCAGTATATTGTCTCACAATAAAGCATTAGACTTAACTACCTGTCGTGGAAAGGCTTTGTTATCACGCTACAATAGAAATAAAAGGGATTTTATCTTCATCGTAACTTTTCTGTTTTGTCTCTAACGGGGAAACAGTCATAAAGGGGGATTTTTTTTATTTTTACTTAATCTCCTGGACTTTATTTTGTCTATACGGTTTTATAAACAAAGCTTAAGGATGCCAATACCATTGTCTTCCTCGTGGGAGTCATGGCATCATAGTATACATACAATATACACTGAAGAAATGCAAAATTGAGGTGAAATTAAAGAAAATGTACAGCATAAAACTTTTTTTTAATTTAAGTAAACAATTGTTAAAATACGATTTTATTCACAACAGAGAACGCGTCATTGTTATTTAACAGATGAGTCATAGGACAAGACATCATGCCCAGAATCACAAGTTTATTTAAAGGGCATTGAAAATGTCTCGAAATTCCCCCCCTCACGGACTCTTCAGAAGATCATTATGTGTCTGGTGGCTAACACTTGTATTAGACAACACACGTGGCAAATATTCAGGTAGAAAATGAAATTAAAAGTGTTGTAAGAATATTTCTTCTAAAATGAAAGTGGTGCTTTTAAAAGTGACCTTTGTTTTCAGGTGCCTTTGTTCAATTGTGTATAGCGATTCCCAAACTCAGTAGGACTTACTTCCTTTGAAAAAGGAACCGTTTCCTTACAGTAAGTGGTGTGAGTTTGGGAAAACACTGGGAATTTGCTGACAAATGATGAGGTGTCAGGTGATTACATATCTGGGGATCTTCTAGCTCATCTTCATACTTAAATTCAAACTAACAATTTAAGTGCGAAGGGGGAAAAACGAACCAAATAAATACACGCACATAACGTTTGTCTGCTGAGTCATGATTGTAACATCTCACTATCATATGATACTTCGTGACATTCGCAGACGAGGCCTTTGACTTTCTAATGCATCACACTCGACCGATAGCGTCGTCACGTCAAAGTGCGCGCGTGGTGTGAGACTGCGTATGTACCTCATCTGCCAACGCACCCTAAGAAACCCTTCCCACATTTACTCCTCAACCTCCTCTTTAAAAAAATTCAGCAATGAAGCACAGTAAAACCCCGTCCCAAATTTACATAGCGGCTCGGGAAATACTTCAGGGCTGTTCGGTAAGGAGTTTAGCAACACAATCTGCTGGTAAATGAGTGTGCGCTCATATTTGCATGTAGGCTGACATAAGCTTCAGAGTCAGTCAACCTGGAACTGTCATGGCAGAAGGCTTTGTTAATGTGGGACTACACGTTTTCACTTTACCCGTTGGCCTGTATTTCAAACAGCACGAAGGCGATTACAGGTCATTGCGCTCTTCTGGGGGCTGCTGTTCTAGTAGAGTAACTTATTCTGCCTACACAGCACTTCCTTCCTGACGAGCATTTTTATTACACACCCACCATAGATGTAGGTGTGTGACGTCACTCAGCAACCGCGGCTGTGGTTGTGGGTCAAGTAGATGGGGGTCTGTACTATACAGTCGGCTTGTTGTTGTATAGCCGTTTTACAAGTAACACCAGCCCACTGGGAAAGTACACGTAATTGGTGTACTGGAAACTCCACTCAGGGGTGTTAACTGTCAAGTGTCAAAACCAACATTAAAACTTTGTTGCAACATATTAACCCATCTCGGCTATAATTGTAAATGGTTGTCTATTCTTCAGGCGACTGTTTTGTTGACCACAGGCCGGTCATGAACACCAACCACCCACGAGATTGTGTCATACATTTGAAATGCATGATACTGCTTTCGAATTAAAACAGGCAACGGCACCTTAAGCACATTTTCAAATCGCATTTTTATCATTTTATCAGTCAAATGTATAGTTTGTACAATAATATACACAAAACAATGTCTCCACCTAGTGGCATTTCACTCAGTCTCCAGGTGAGGTGAAAAATGAAGACAGTGTTTTGAACATATATATTTTTATTCATATATATATAATAAATTTCTATTTACAATTTATTCTTCTTTTTTAGAGAAAATTAAAGAGAAAGCTTTGATTGCAAACAGTGCTTCATACTAAAGGGAGGGAAGGACAAAATGGGAAAGTGCTCATAAAACTAGTGTGTGTGTTATTTCCCTCTTGTAACTATATTTTAGGTAGATACAACAGGGATTTGCCATTGTTTTGCAAGGAGATCACCATCTGAAAGCCAGGATTCCCCTTGAAGTCACTCTGAACACAACAACTAGAAGTGACAGCTTCAACAGTATGAAGAGCCATGTCCACCAAACAATGTGAGGCTTTGGCTTTTATCACACTGACTTTTCAACAAAGTCCACAACTGAAGGAGACAAACCTGATGCTTTTGTCAAACTACTTTATCTAATCAACCTTTGAGTTTGCTTTCACAGTTTGCTGTTGTGAGTGTCCAAAGTTTGCAATCCTGCTGATCTTTAAACATGTTTAAACTAAGTGTTATGGGTGTCAGGGTTTAATCACTGACAGAAATAATGATACATTCGACAAAGCACACCTAGGACATTGAGAAATGGCCACCGTTTCATAAAGAGTGATGCCTGATTGTCGGTCAGTCATTCGTAGTAGACAAAGTATGACACCATCAATGCAAAAGGATCACATAAATAACATCACGAAAATGTTCCAGTGTATGGATTCTTCCTTTAGAACATAGGAAAGAGGTAACCTCCTCCCCCAATAACGGTAATACTTTAAACAAAATGAATGAATACGTTTTCTTTAAAGCAGGTGAGACAGTCATGCAATATGCAGCCTAGTCGAACTAAAGGCTGGCTACAGGGTCTCCCTTATGGAAATCCTCAGATTGTGAACTGATCAAGGTTAGCGTTATTAGTAGTTGGCAGGTAAGAGCTTAAATACGCCAGTGGCAGCGCCTTGACATAAGGGGAGTGGGGCCAGAGTAATGTGCTAAACTGTAGCATTATACACAAATATGAGTTAGGTGTTCCAGTCCGAGTTTTATGTCCAGAAAAAGATTCGTAGGCCATAGTTATTGGCCTGGGTCTGGGGGATTGAGATCCAGGCCCAGCCAGCTTAAAGGCGCAGAACAGAAAATATCCTAGGTAGAGTACACACTCCCAAAAATGTCTGCATGGCATCTTTACAGAAATCAGTACACTGAATACCACTCACGTTTCACAAACTGTACACGTCACGTCAATACAAAAGAGGGTTTTCAGCCAGAGGACCCCTGCTTGTGTGCGAGAGGACTACTCCTGTTGTGCTCTTGCTGCCTGTATTCCTTTGCTTGGACATCAGAGGGACAGACAGCAGGGGGCTGTGGAGAGGGCCAGTCAGTGTCTACATTCTGAAGTTTAGAGATGGTCAAAAGACTGAGAGGAAAAAGGAGAACAGGGTTGAAAGGGATCAGGGAGAGCTGTTTTGTGCTCACTGAGTTAAAAAGGCACTGTTCTGTCACATGATGTCAACAAAGAACTCACAGGGATTGCCCATAGCATGCTGGAAGGACTGGCGACTGGCGGTGAGCTCAGGAGGAACGGCTGCTAACTCTCTCCCAGGTGGGGCTCCAGGAGGCGTGCTACTGTTGAATGAGGTCTTGGGGGCCAGACGGGCCAGACAATAAGGGGGAGGCAAGCCTGGGGGGCCGTAGGAGGAGGCATGGCTTCGCTCGCTCTGGGCACAGGAGCCTGGAGCTGGCTGAGTAAAGGCGGCGTGGCTGTAGGTGAACGGGGGGTGGTTGTTCTGTGTGACAGGGTGGCTCCTGTGTGAATGACTGTGGCTGAGACTTGACCTTGCGTGACTTTGGCTAGAGATGGCGTGGCTGTGATGGCTCATTTGACTGGCAGATCTGTCACCACGCCGCCCTCCGCGGATTCCTGGCTCTGATTCACTGCATGTTGACCTTTGACCCTTTTCCTGTGGGGATGAACGTCTACCTTTGCCTGCGCTGGGGTTGGATCCACTGCTTCGGCTTCCTGTTGATTGGGGGGGGGGAAAAAAAAAAAAAAAAAAAAAAAGAAACAGAGATTAACAGGTTAAGACTTCAATAGAATATAAACACCCACAAATACACAGTGAGCAGCTGCAAGTCATCAGCTACTGATGATTCACGACCGGCTACCGATAAACAAAGACAAAAGGTCACACATTAAACATCAGCTTAATAAAGACTTCTTGAACTCCACCAGAATTAAGCATAACATGAAAAGGTGCTCGTGTTTGAAACACAGTAAAATGTGTCAATGTTAATAAATACATTACTGCACTTTGTTTAAGGTGTGACCACATTTTTTGTTATGCAGTCTAGCAAAAGTCAGTCAAGGGCAAACATGATTATCTCAGTGATTTCTGCCCCAAATTCTGATGCAGCAACTGATATTAAGGCTTTTTCTTATATTCATACAAACACTGAAACAGTCAAAGATCATAAATATAAAGATGACACACCTGCATCAGAAAGATTACCACAAAGCACTTGATGAACAACGCAGAATGACGTATTTGTCGTGTTGTCAATTTCTCAGTAATAATACGTGTCACAACTCTCAATGCTGTTAATAAACACTGCTGGCATCAGACTAATGGAGGTGTATCACACTGTTGCAAAATCAAACATTCCACGCCTCCCCTTCCACAGTGAGCCCAACAGCACTGGGTAAAGTGGTGCATGATTGCCCCCTATCAGCAAGAATGATAGCACAAGCCTCAGAGTGCTCATCCTGCATCATGCACCTCCCAGCACAGTACGAATGCATGCCTAGAGGCACAGAGAGGGAGAATCGGACGTCAGGAGAGTCACAGACAGGATACACATGGACCAAAGAAAAATTATGGGACGGGCAGAGAGAGAAAAAACAAAAAACCCAACAAAAACCTTAAAGCTACAGTATGAGACGTGGAGAACGTTGAGCACAAGAGAAAGAGAGGAGTGGCAGAATAAGATTGAATGGTAAAATAGAGAGAGCAGCAGAGGAGGAGAGGGGGTTAGCAGGCTTACCGGTTCCCCCAGTGTCCGGGGACTACCTCCTCCTTCAGTCTACCGTTGCCCAGCAGAAACAGAGGGAACAACAGAATTACACACACCTCCCAGCCCAGTCGTTCCTCTACTACCTGTCGTGTCCTAGTGCACTTTCCCCCGTTAGCTCCAAACCAACGTAACGCCGGTGGCTGTTACTGATCCTTTATATGCAAATATGCAGAAACTGTCCCCAAGATTTCACACATGCACTCATTACCATGAATGCTTGCTCTTTTCTGAACGCTCCCAAAGAAAGAAAACCATGACATTTATTTGTCACTTGTCTTCCCAAAATTTGCTGATAAACGAAACCAAAACTAACCGAAAGAATGGCAACTGGGCGAAATTAAAATATGGATGAGCCACTCAAAACAATGAAAATAAGACAGAGAGATGGTAATATATAGTTTCACATCTTTTGTCTGGGCTACGTAGTAAAAAATATACAGCAACATTACCCCTGCCAGCTACTTATACGTACCGCCCCAGCGCAGACAACAAAAACCATGCAGCACCATCACATTTTGATTCAAAAATCAAAACAAAAGATCATTCAAGAACTAATGGAGACACATGGACTTAGTGTTGATCATTTCAAGCTGGTGATTGATAATCACATGGTTGATCAGATCTGTTTTGTGTACACACCCAGTACTGCAGAGCTGTCCGCTGCATGACTCAAGATGCTCATGATTGACCTTGACAATACAGGACGCATTTTAGAACACAGATATTTATATTGTATTGAATAATGCAATCCAATGTCCACTTCCTGCCCAGAGAGCCAGTAAAGCTAACATTAGCATGAGCCAGACATTCGTTAATATGCCAGAAAGACTTCATTAATGTCGTGTTGCATGTTGAGCGAATATATTATATTAATCAACGATAGGCTGATGGAAAACTCGTCTTGCCCCTCCTTATTGCTTACCCTCACTGTGTTGGCTGCCTGCGCTCCCACTGTGGAAACTGTGGCATGGGTCTGAGTATCCTGGCGGAAAGCTCGGGGGTGCAGTGGGGAAAGGAGGGTAGGGGAATGGCTGCCCGCCCAGAGGCCAGGGGTTGCTAGTGGGAGGTAGTGGTGCCAAAGTGTCCTGCTCAGAACCTCCACCACTGGATCCTTCATTCAAATTGAGTGAGGCCATGTCTTGAGGAGAGAGGGAAAAAAAGCAGCAGAGAGGGACAGAGTTAGTATAATCCTTCTATTTAAAAAGAAAATGCCATAAATGTGTGAGCTGCTTAATTAATGTAGGTGTGAAAAGTGGATGTACTTTGGCAGAGGTCCCCAAAGGTATAGTAGCACTGTTCAGAGAAGGTGATCTTATTGACAGTGTGTCTCAAGTAACCGTGCTTCAACAGACTGCTCGCGTACTTCCTCGCATCGCGCCTATCCTTGAATCCTTCCACTCTGGAGTACAGCCAGTCCACTACATCAGCACCTAGCATGGCAAAGAATGCACACGTGGACATGAAGTTCAGTTCCCTGATGCGTGGAACAGATGCTAAAAATACCACTTATATGCAGCAACCACACATCAACCACAACTGCAATAGTTAGGGCAAGCAGCACAATGCTGCAAAACCTTTGAATGAAGTTAGTGGAGCTAATGCTAGAACTACGATGCTAATGCTTTTCAGAAAAAACAAGAGTCTACATGACTTGAAAAAAAATACTTATATGATGTTGTTTGTTGTGTTTAGAAAGAGTAAACTACCTAAAAAATTACATTTTTAGATACCATGCATTTGAATTGATTTCAGTCTTGTAATTTAATATTGTGCTCTCTAGGAAACCTACTGATTTCTTTATTTCCCTTTTTTAAAGAAAAAAAAAAGCCTTACTGAGTTATTTTTATTGCCCACACTCAGCACAGAGGTTTCGATCACTATGCATGCAATGCATGTCTGCACATTTCCAAGTAACCAGCATTGTTTACAGTAATACAGCCACTGTTTCTATATAAATTTCTGCATTGGGTAGATTTTCTCACCTATAACAGCATTTGCAATGGTGATCTTCAACCACATCCTGTCTCGAATCTCTAGGCCAGAATCAGGCAACTGCATCACTTTGACAATAGTTGCCATATCTGTTTTACTTACAGACAGAGGCAAGTCATCAAACTCTGAGATGGAAAAAGAGAAACAATTTTGATCATTGTGACCTCATTATTTATAGTTCAGTTACTGAGAAGTGACCTTTTATACTGGAACAAAGCAGCAGGTAACCTTTACCATAGTGAGGGTAAGGTGCAGTTAGGGCTGTGGTGTGTGAAATCCAGGCTGCAGGATCAATGGGCCTCACTGGCTCAGCTGAGAAAATAAAACAAAACGAGAAACTTTTTATAAATAGGACAAAGTGAACACGGTATGGTTTAAACATTATCAGGTCATCATTTGCGTTGCTCCAAATATTACACCACACTGTCTGTCTTACCACGAGGAATGGTGAAGTAGCTTCGGGGAGATGGGTCCCAACATTTGGCAACAGTAAGACTAATGGGACTGGATATACATAGAAAATAAATGTTACTCTTAGAAAAATCATACACAGAAATATGCTGTACTTGTTCCCTTTTTTAAAAACACCAAAGCTGAATAATCTACTGCGCATTGTCATTCTACTGCGAATAACTTTACGTAACATAATCAAACTTGTCAAATGTGAAAGCCGTCGATGGCTTTCATTTCCTATAAATCCTTTAATGTCAGCTACTCATTCTACTGATGAGCAGTCGACACTGACTAAGAAAGACGAAAGGTCAACTTCCAGGAAAAGTTGCAACAGTGTCCAACGGTCAAGCAGCATTATCAACTAGCTTTTCCTATTTATTTAGATCCTTTGATTTTCTATACAGCCCCGTGACTCACCAGCACATTGGTTCTGATATTAATTAAATTTCATCTGATTTCAATAATCTTCCAAGAAAGAGTCCTTACCCAGTTTTGGAAACAATCTCTCTCAGGATCCTCACAGCGTCATCATTGCTCATGTTCTCAAAGTTGACGTCATTCACCTGATTGACAGACAAAACCAACAATGTAATTTCTTTACATTTCTCGACCATGTTTTACTAACTAAAATATTATTTTGAAGTTCTGAAGAGAACTTCGATGCGTTTATGCATTTATACTGTGCACGTATTAATCTCTGCTGTTCTTTTAGGGGTTCACATGGCTGCAAATCCTAAGGTCCTTTTGATGGAATAAACCCCCACAATCATAAAACAACCTATACTGTTTGTATCGGGGCCACAACAAATTGGAAGCGTCCATCACAAACAGAACAAAGGATGGGGAAGGAAAAGAGAGGCAGGATTCCAAGTTTTACATAAGAGTTTAACAAGGGAACTAAATACAACCGTCATTATTAACATGCAGCAAAACCTCAGAGAGATGTTGTCACTGCAACAGCAAATTCGAGGCACAATTATTACCAGTTCAAATATCTCGTTATGGAAGCGTACCTGTAGTAGCATGTCTCCAGGTTCTATTCTGCCATCAGCAGCTACAGCTCCTCCCTTCATGATAGAGCCGATGTAAATACCGCCGTCCCCCCGGTCATTACTCTGACCGACAATACTGATACCAAGGAAGTTGTATTTTTCTGTTGAGATTAAAGCAGGGGATGAATACAGTTACAAAGACTCGCTTTGGTATTGATATGAATTCTACATTAAATTCTATGACGTTAAAAAATAGGCATGGATGCAACAGGTTTACCCATGTTTAGTGTGACGGTGATAATGTTTAGGCTCATCGTGGAGTCTGTGATACTGCTGAAAGACGATGACTGGTAAAGGAAGAAGAGGTTACAGTGAGCATATTGTGAATAAAAGTGGCAAAAAGCCCATTTCAAACAATTTATTCATGTGTTTCAAGCACTCAGTGTCAATGTCACTTTCAGCAGGGGCACTGATGTGTTTTAAGAGGTGCATACCCGGTCGATCTTTGCCACTTTGTGCCTCCGTCTGCGCCGTTTGTGTCTGCGCATCAGCTGTGAAGATGAACTCTGTTCTGTGGAACTACTGAGCCTGAAGAAGAAAGTGAAATCAAGGAAAAGATGGAATATTAAATAGGGTATATGAATAAGGCCAGAGTGAGCAATTTAAGCTATTTAGTATATTCATTGGGAATTTTCCTTAAAACTCTGTGAAGGTCTATGTACACACATACAGTTTCAACAAAATAATAAATTGTTAGCCTTGCTATTCCTATTTAAATGAATTTCTAACACACGCACTATATCTGATTGTAGTTTAAGTGGTTAAGTCTGATTTATTGTTGCAAATTCTTCACTGTTTTTGCAGCTTTTATGAAAAGAAAAACAACAAATCACATCAGAAAGAAGACAAAGCGACCAAGTTAAGTGTTTCAATGGCAAAACTGGAGAAGAACTTACCTGCTAGCATCCTCATCTTCTTCACTGTCGACAAATGAGCTGGACTCCAGCTCACTGCTCATTACTGAGGCACTGTCGTAACCCATGGCCGAGTCCCTTGCAGTGCGCTCTGATTTGGAGTGACCATTGATGCGAGGGACTGTAGAGAAAAAGTGCACAGCAGCAGTAAGTCAGATGGAGAGGGGGGGGGGGTCATCATTGCAGGGTGAAGTGAGAATAAGAGAGCAACCAGAAGGCGAGGAAGGAAGGAGTTAATGAGAGTGGCTGGAATACAAAACAAAAATCATCTGCAACAAGCATTAAACTGTGATCTCAGGAAGATGTGGACATTGAACTGAAATATATCTTCAATTAGACCCTCCTGCAGGTGGAATAACATGAATTAAAAAAAAATGTAGCAATAAAAATGAAAAATAAACGCATTTTTTTTAATACAGTACACGGATTTGTAGACTTTGCAGAAAACCAAGAAAAAGTAGTGCCCTCCCATCAGAGGAAAACTACCAGGTCTGTCTCCATACGTACATTGGCAGTGAGGTGGCGCAGTCTCAGGGTAACAGCGGATTGGCTGAAAAGGTCTCACAAGGCGAAGAGGGCGTGGTAGCCAACGTACTCGCCGAGAGCAAGCAAAACATTCCAGCAATGTAGTAGTTCCCATTGCTAGCTCCGCCCACAGGGTGCTCATTTGAAAGACGAGCTACTGCACATAAACACTCAATCAGCAGAGGGACCTGACATCCAGTGTTAAGACTCACTCAAACATATTTCCTCTCGCACTCTGCTGACTGGCGCCAGAGAAAACAAAAAAACAAACAAACAAAAAGCAAGTGTGCAGGTTCACCAAGCCAGCCTGAAAAATCTGCGTCTTTGTGCTCTGCTCCGTCTGTGCTAGCTGCTCTCTAAAAAGCCCGAGCCCCAGTCAGTCTATGCCCACCAGCTGGCTGTTGACACACTTCACAGCTTATCTACAATAGAGGAAGTGCCAGAAATAGGGAATACACAAAACGACAAACTATCAAGAGTGACGTGTAGTAAAACAAGAAGCGAGTGCTATGACTCAACAGCAAAGTCACGTTTTGAATGAATATGCGAAACTTTGAACACGGCATTATCGTGACCTTTCCGAAAGCTGTGACACTTCCAGCAATTGACTGTTTTGTGTGAACTCTGATCTTTAAAGAGAGAAACATGCAGTCTAAATAATTCTATAATCAATCGAGCTGCCTTTTGATGAGAATCGCTCATAAACAGAACCAGCCTATAAAAGCTTACACCTATTAAATAAAAATGTCACCTTGCTTCAAAAAACAAGAGCCTCCCTATTTTAACCAACTATCCATAACTCTGGAAAAACAGAAAAATAACACCAGCGTTAAATTAACCACAAAAAACAATAGAAAATATTCCAAAGCCCAACACCATCCCGGGAAATAACACAGCGAATCCCTCTCACCGCAGCTGACAGCACGCCTTCTTCCAATGAACAGAGAAAGTGAGCTGAGAGTGAGGAGAAAGTATTACCTCCTCCCTGACTCTCATGCACGCAACTGTTGAATGACTGTTAATCTGCCTCTGACCAATCAGACGATGGTATCCTCCAAAGCAGAGAGAAAATAATATGTGATTTTATACGATAAGCTGTCTTCTCCCCTCCCTTCCTCAGGTGAAAGCACTGTCGAGTGATTGAAATCACAAAAGCTTTGCAGCCCTAATACAACAAGAACAGGAAAATGAGCTGAAGACACTTTTTCATAACAGAGAGTAGTTTATGTTCACCAGCTGTTTTGCAGGCTTTGTGTAATACTTTAATACAAACATAAGTGCTCAGGCTTAACTGTGTCTTCTCTGACCTCAGCCTTGAAATCCTGACGGCTCTGTACAGCATAACATTTAATGCCACGGGAACGCTCCCCCCCCCCTTTGTTGGCCACAGTCGTCCTCTAATACAACTGGTTAAGATACAGAACACCTGGCAGCCTTAAAACAGATCATATCCCATAACTCCATGAGGTAGTCTTGCACCTGTTCTCCCTCTTAAATTTTTTAACTGCTCCATTATTCATCCTTGAATGCTACAGCGCAGGAAAGAAAACTGAGAAAGACGAGAGAGAGAGAATAGTTTGACAAGTCTGAACATTTTAACCGATCTTTGTAAAACAGCGAGGAACGCTCGCATGTGTATAAGGTGACAGGGGAATTCCTGCTGCTGCTGCTGATGATGCTGCAGGCAATGAGGCACAGAGGTGGGAGGAGGTATCTGTCTTTACGCCTCGCTGTGTCACTCGGTGAAATTAAAGCTGAATTACACTTAATTGGACTTTGTTACACAAATTTATGAACCAGTTCCTCTTGGAGTTTCTCCGGGAAAGTATATGTGCTTCTAGATTGGATTGAAGTCAGTAAACACAGACAACGGGGTGGATAACAATGTATATTTCATTGAGTTTGTGATCCTTCTCACATGCAAAAAACAACAGATGTTCAGTTGGCTGTTAGCAGCAGCGGCAGCAGCAATATGTCTGTGCCAAGTCAAAAGCATCATCATGGAGTGCACCAGCGTGATCACGATGAAATCACTGGCTATGCTCATGTGCAGATAGTCTGCTAAGATAAATCTGTTCCCCATCTACAGCCCTCCATACAACCCCAACCTGATGCTGTAATCAGTGATGCTAATTGCACCACATAAATTAATGAGTATTTAGTTAATGAGCCTGGAGCGCAGGATGCAAAGAGCCAGGCTTGCTGTGAAGAGAGGACAAAGGGGAAGGGGGGAGCGAGAGAAAGAAAGCGAGAGAGAAGAGCACAGTGATTTTTGCTGTCAGTGAAAACAATGGCAGACTGCGATTGTTTATTACTTGGTGCCAAAAAACCAACTAATTTTGTCAAAAATACCTGTGTGGGACAGAAACCGGATGAAAGCAGGTACCTCTACTGATCGCCAATGTGCTTATATGGGTAACCACTGCAAAACCTTCCTGTTCTCTGTTGTGGATAGCACAGACAGCCTCCCTTACTGAAAACACTGAGCCTGCAAATAGGAGTTCTTGCGAAGGAGCAGGAAAGTGCTGCGCCTCTCCTACCGAAGAGCTTGTAATAGAAATTGCTGTAGTCAAATGTCAGCACAATAAAGCAAATGCATTTGCACTTGATAACAGTTCTCAGGAGCTTTTAAAGTCAAGATCCAATCAATTTCTTTTCCAGATGGAATGGAGGCATTTTTTATTTCAACAGTGACTGCAACAGACTCCTGTTATAATTCAGACCTGAGAGCCACAGAAGAAACAGAAAAGAAAGACAACTACTGGCCAACTATTCCAAAAACGCTGACATACAGTGAACTTTTTGCTTTAACATAGCTGCAGTTGAACATGTACCACTTGAGCCCCAGGGACCTTTTTTCATACATGTCTACTTCCCGTCCACATTTTTTGGTGATTGACTTGTGCGGAGTATGAGAGTTAAATGAAGAGGTACAGAAAAGTAATAAGTTGGAAATGACAAGATAATTGCGTTTTTGGGATCCATCTGTTCCTGGCTGATAATACTCACGCTCAGTTTCTCGAGCTCTCCTCCGTGCGCGCTCTCTCTCTCGCTCTCTGCGGTGGCTTAGGAGAGACTCTGTACCAGTCTCTGTGTCCAGGCCGTCACGACTGCTCACTGCATTGGCACTGCAATACACGCATCGGAAAACTTCAGTCAGCTTCATAATGATGTACAAAACACAGAGTATCTCAGTCTGCCTCGCAGAAAGTGTTTCAAATGAATTCTCTAGCCAGCCTGAGACCAACACTCCCGAACATAATCCCTAGCTACAGTATACTTCTGTCTGTTATAGTATCTGTATGCCTGCCATCCAACCTTTGGGGAATATGCAACTCATATCATGACTCTGTTTCAAATTCAGTCCCTCTGGCCAAAATAGCAATTTCATTGTTCGGTGGTATCTGATGTGTTTTTCACTAAGTGTCATTAATGACCAGATACCCTGAGAGGGAGCCATTCTGGACAATACTGGCATTAATGAGACCTATTGAAAGCCCAGATGGTGCCTGGAGCATGATTGGGAGAGAGACAGAGAAGAGAATGACAGATCGCATAAAAAGTGAGAAGTGGTAGATCAGGTGTGGGCTGAGCAATAAGCCGGCCTGTATGTACTTGAGGTCTGGAAGGAGTCTGGGGGCTCTGGAAGAGCTGGCGGGCAGATTGTTATTCTGTCAGAGGGCTGGAGACGCCGTGGCCTCAGGCACGAGGGTTAAGGGACTCACACTGCCACCGGGCTCCTAGGAAACCTGAACCCGATGAGAACTCTACTCAACCCTGTCAGTCAGTCACACGCACTTAGGCACGTATGCAACATGTATCTGACACCTGAATACCTAAATAATCACACCTGCGTAAATGTCAGTGCACGCGCACAAACAGTCAAAATCAAAGTGTATAAACAGAAAAAAGAGGCATAAAAAACCAAACCTGTGAGCAAACATCATTCCTCGTTTGAAAACAATGTTCTCGCACACCTCAGTGCCTACGTGTGGCTGACCAATGCAAATGAAAATCTCAGGAGCAGACAGGATGCCGTGTCTGCCGTGTTCACTCAGCGGGATGAAGCGCTCAATTGAGCATGCTTACATGCGCGTGCTACAGAGTACTAATGGGTGCACCTGGGCCCGGCTTCACCAGCACGGGTCAGTGCATGTATGCAAAAATCAGTGAAGATGCACACTTCAGGTGCATTTCTAGTGGAACTGATTAGAAAGCTATGTGATGATCGATGCGGTGGCCACTGCCTCGCTGTTAGCCCTGTCAAAACCTGTCAAAGGGCGCTCACCAGCCAGCCGACGGATCTGCTATTCTGGTGGGAGATTATCCGAGGCGCTAGGCTCCAGCTGTGAACAAATGCCACCCCCTTTCAATCCCCACACCTACCACCCCCTCTCCCTGTTGCCAATAGCCCCCCCCCCCCCCCCCTCCCATTGGGAAATGGAGATGGGTGCTTTTAATGTCTGCTAATCCGGATTACCGAGCAGAAGCACATCAGTGTGTCCATTCTCAGACCAAAACACCTATTCTGTGTGTGCTCATCAAATAGAACCATTCACGCCGACAAACACGAGATGCATGAATAAAGCACAAAGAGAAAATGATGTGGTAATAATATTCTAGCTATTTGCAGACAGCGGTACAGGGGGGAAGGCTGGATTCATTTCAGAAAGAGGGGAGGTTCGCGATAGGGAATTCACCATGCTGTAAAAAGGCCTGGCTGTCTGACTCAAAGAGCGAAAGAGAAAGAGAGAGCGAGGCACGGAGGGGGCGGGTAAAGGGGCCGGCAGACAGTTTGCTGTTTTTTCCACAAGGTGGCGGTAGTCAAAGCTGGCTGGGAACAATAACATCATCAGGCCAGATGACAGCCAAACAGGAGTGAGCAGCCCATAGAGGGCAAAAGAGAGCTGAGATGTCAAACAGTAGATAAAGAGATACACTGAGACATGACAGATTGCATGTTCTCAATATAGAGCCTCAGCTATATTGCTCTAGTGCTGTAATGGCAATGACTCTTGGCCTCCACTGCCCCCAGCCCTTTTGGCTATATTTAGGAAGGGACTTCTCCTTAGTGATTACAGTTATATTTTTTAAATCTGCTGGTTTTAAGGCAAAGTCTGGACTCAGGTAGCCATAACGTTGAGAAAATCTCAATTTTTGAGTGCTTAAGCAATAATATGATTCAGGCCACGTGCTTTTTTTTTTAAGAGTATGGATGAATGCTCTTAGTGACTGAATACAATGAGCCTCACTTGAGTGCCAGTATTTGCCTGAAGAGGTTTATGCTGTCAAGGCTATTTCAAGAATCAGCCGCCCAAGCAGCATGCGCATCGTGTTTACATAGACGAGCGGAGTAACGCCTTACTCCATGGCTGTGTGGGCGGGAATATATACCCAAGTGGGAAAAATACTCACGCCTATGCATATTCCCACACTGTAGTGTTAGCACATACTTCATGCTATATTCACACAGCGGCGGAGCGACCGTCTACACTCCCCATGTGAGCCTGTGACGATAAATCTCTCTGTGGCACGTTCCACGTTCTGATTAGCACATATAGCGTGCTGTGAAATGAAAAGGTCAACCGGTACGCAGGGCTGCGTGCTTGAATACATCTGCCTACACGAGTGTGTGTAATTGTGCATACATGACGAGCGGCAATCATCCTACTCACTGGAAGGACGGGGGCCGTGAGTCCCCGATGCCCCCTGTTCTCTCGAGGGGTGGGGGAAGTTCTGGATGGCTCTCCGTGCATTGAGATCCTCCATCAGAGTGTGCACTCTCTGCCAGGACCAACTGAAAAAGACAGGTTGGAGGAAACAAAATTATTCATTACAGATTAGACATATTCAGGTCAAAGACAAGCACACGTTATACCGTGCATATTTTATTGTATTCTATAGGCTGCATAGTGTGGACACAGAACTAGAAGAAAGAAACTCTGTAACCACGCAAACTCAAAGATAAACTCAGAGACAGACAGACGTCTCTTAAGCGCGAGTCCACTCAGGGGAGGCTGTGAAATTGAGATGTGGCAAAAAGGCCTACCGATGACTTCTGGCTATGCTTATACAACTTGAGAAACACTGCAAGCTACTTAGAAACTTAAAAGACTTCTGTTCTTTTACTCAGCTGAGTGTCGGTACAAAGGATGATGTACAATGACCCATCCTTTCATCTGAGCCAGAATAATGAAAGTTAAAGCAGACAGGCGAGGAAAGCCCAACAACTCTGTGGGCTGTGATTATTCTAATGCAAGCCTGGGGGTTCACAGGCATCGCTATGGTGCCACTCGATTCTCAAATAAAGAGTGGGATACTTTTCTTTTCTCCATTACAACGGATATAAGTGTTACTGCAATTTCCATCACCTTCTGTGCCTGCCGTGTACTGACTTGCTGGCTTTCTTCTCGAAACATCCTAAGAAGGAGCAGATTTCTCTCTGGTCCTTGGATCTCCAGTTTTATAGAAATTTGTTTCTATTTAAAACAGCGGCTGGTGACCAAAATGCTGTAATTCTAAAGAAAAATCAATGACATAAAAACATAGGACAAGCTGACAGAATTGAACAAAGGAAAAATAAAATGAGAAGAAAGAGAAGCCAGAGAATAAAATGTTTTAAACTTCAGGTTTTCAAACAGGTTTTTAAATGTCTAATGTTGGGGGGGGGGGGGGGGGGGGGGGGTCCTGCTGTGACCGGGCAGTTTGTTCCAGAGTTTAGGAGCAGCCACAGGAAACGCCTGATCTCCGCTATGCTTTAATCTGGACCTCAGGACAGCTAGGAGCTTCTGGTCCGCAGACCTCAGTGAGCTTGAAGGAGTGTATAACTTTAAAAGATCAGAAAGGTACGAAGGCGCTAACCCATGCAGTGCCTTAAAAATAAATAATAAAATCTTAAAATCAATTTAAAAACCGACTGGCAGCCAGTGTAAAGATGCTAGTATAGGACATATATGGTGGATGCATTTATTACATTATTTTCCTTCTGGCTTTGAGAGTTTTTTATGGTAGACCTTGAAGAGAATTCCTGATATATTTTTTCCCAAATACTTTAAAATGTACACACTGGATTATTTTATCTAAGGCCTTAATCAGAATCAGAATCAGAATAATTCCAAAGGAAATGATGTGGTTACAGTTGCTTTAAGAACAACAGTAACAGATTTAACTAAATTAAATAATACAATATATTACAAAGTCACAAAATATAAGAAAAAACTCTAATATACAAACAGCTCAATTATAAATATCCAGAATATTACAGAGATTAAATATATATGATTGAAATTAACTTAATGAACGTAACTAATTTTGGAAACACTGGACTTGCTAATCACACTGACATAAATATGTGGACCAGGTTAATCTTCATATTACAGCCAGAATCTCTGACGGCCCAAATACGGCACATATTCCAAAAAGCACATCAGATAAATTACAGAGTATTTCAATCTAGCCCAATCTGGTTTGCAAGGACCCTCCCTGGGTATGTCTTTAAATTCCATTAAAATCACCAATAAAATAATCAAAAGCACAAACTTCTTCGGCAATTTACATAATAACGTCCCAAAACTGTAGCTTTAAAAATTGTTCGAATATGAGTGTAAAATGATTTCAGCCATGTTCCATCTTAGGTTCTGCAGCTCCCCCAGCATCATAGGCAGTATTCTTAATTATTAATGCATTACGATTGATCTGACATTGCCCCACGAGCAAATGTTTATCTTTTCATTTTATACTAAGTTTAATAGCACAGAAATTTTCCTTCCTTTTGAAATGTTTAAACATGCAAGAAAAATAAGTCTACATCAACCTCACCGTATATGTAGTCTAGTTAGTGGAATCTAATATATTTTTAATTGATTTATTGTCTGAATAACTATTAGAATAATAAGTCCAGTTAGCATGTGTGGCTAACATACGGTGTGCAGGTGTTTTAATCACAAGAATTTTTTAACAAGGAAGAAATAATGACTGCAGAGGAAATGCTGTGCAGCG